TGCCTCAGGCATCCTGGATACATGAATATTTGTGAGGTAAAAAATAACAATAATACAGCCTAATTTGGAGAATGGGACAAGCAGAGCAATCACTACTGTGATTTATGTATTTATTGATTTTATGTTATAAAATCTGAAAAGAGAGGAAAAAATAAACAGGAGTTAAATGATTTTGAAGATTTTGCCTTAGGACTAAAAAATGCTTTTCTTATAAGATTGGTACTTACAACTTAACTTATTTTTTTGTACTTCCATAGCAGAGATAATGTAAGTTAGGAAAAATCAAATACAGTCTCTATGCTGAGCAGCAAATAAAATAGAGTTAAGAACTGTTAACTAACCTTGTGGTAACCATTTTGCAATATATACCTGTATCAAATAATCGCATTGCATATCTTAAATTTACATATGTTGTATCTCAATAAAGCTTGAAAAATAGGGGGAAAAAGACTTATTTAGTAACCATTCTATGAAGGGTTTGGGGATCCCGAGGTCTGACCTCATGTAATTTGAAGTTAACATTTTGAAATACATGAACCTTGAATTTTTATCCAGGCACATTTTAATGTTCACATTCAAATAAATCCAAATGCTGAGGAGAAAAGCTTCTGGCACTATGTTTGTTTTATGTAGAAATGGGTGCCTTTAGTATAATTAGGGTATTATTCCGTTTTGGAAATTAAGTGCATTTTCTTTCAAGAGTACCACTCAGTGCCACAGGATGTAAAATATAGGCATGGAGTATGGAGTGCATAAACTGCATGGAACTTAGCTGCAGAATTTATGGGAAAAGGCTGAGGTACATTCAAAGGCTGCTATAACATAGTCCATGAAGACCTGGATGCACATCTGACACTCTGAGTACCATCAAGGCAGCAAAGGATGATAGTGGAAGAAGAGGGCCTCCAGCACCTTCTGTCAGGCAGATCCTGTTGTGATGCTATTACTGCATTGTAAGCATTGACTGTACAAGTGTCACCAATAACTTCTAAAAGTACTACAACATACAGTGTGTTTAAAACACAGGTTACTTCAATCACAAATCTTATGCCTATTGATTAAAAAGAAGAGAAATACCACTCAGTTTCACTGGCATCAAAATTCAAGAGAGAATATAAAGTAACTATTTTCATGAAAAAGCTCATGTGTACACAATAGATTACTCCTATACGCAGATGGGAAGAAATGGAAGTCTTTGGGCCAAAGAGGCAAAACTAATAGGTTTGGTTAGGTTCTCACAGTGCTGGTCAACTTTTAAAAATTGAATTAGTTGAGGGGTGCCTGGGTGGCTCAGTTGGTTGAGCTTCCGACTTCAGCTCAGGTCATGATCTCACAGTCTGTGAGTTCGAGCCCCGTGTCTGGCTCTGTGCTGGCAGCTCAGAGCCTGGAGCCTGCTTCAGATTCTATGTCTCTCTCTCTCTGCCCGTCCCCCACTTGCACTCTGTCTCTCTCAAAAATAAATAAACATTAAAAAAATTTTTTAAAAATGAATTAGTTTGGACCCCTGGGTGGCTCGGTCGGTTAAGCGTTAGACTCTTGATTTTGGCTCAGGTCATGATCTCACAGTTTGTGAGATTGAGCCCCCCAGTCAGGCTCAGCACTGATAGCAGGGAGCCTGCTTGAGATTCTCTCTCCTCCCTGCCCCGTCCCCCCTCCTCATGTTCACTCTCTCTCTCTCAAAATAAATAAATAAACTTTAAAAATCGAATTAGTTGCCAACATTTAATATAATTAAAATATAAATTGTAATTAAATCATGACAGTCTCACCCATTTAAAGTTACCTTTCTGGTTCCTGTAGCATTTGAGTTGGTGATCCCTATTTTATGAGGGAAAAATCTAATACTTCTTTCCAGAAGAAAATGGTGGAATTTTGGAAGATTATACTATTTGCTTTGGATAGCCTTTAGACTAGGCCTGCATTGATATCAGTATTCTTAAAAGATATAGAAATCACTTTTAATTAGGGGCGCCTGGGTGGCTTAGTCCGTTAAGCGTCCGACTTTCGCTTAGGTCATGATCTCACGGTTCGTGGTTTCGAGCCCCGCGTCGGCCTCTGTGCTGACTGCCAGCTCAGAGCCTGGAGCCTGTTCCAGAGTCTGTGTCTCCCTCTCCCTCTGACCCTCCCCTGTTCACTCTGTCTCTCTCTATCCTAGAAATAAAATTAAAAAATATTTAAAAAAAAACAGCTTCTAAATATGTTTAAAAAAAAAGAAATCACTATTAATTAACTGTAAACTAAAGGATTTAATTTCAGGAATAATAAAAACACAAGCTTATAGGCTTAAATATATCAGGACAGGGGTGACCGTTAACTCTGAAGTTTTTTAAAATAATTTTTAAAATTTAAATTCAAGTTTGTTAACATACAGTGCAGTCTTGGTTTCAGGAGTAGAACCCAACTATTCATTTCTTACATATGACACCCGTGCTCATCCAAAAAAGTGCCCCCTTTAATGCCCATCACCCACTTAACTCATCCCCCCAAACTCTGAAGTTTTATAGAATGTTTAAGATCACAGAAATAAGACTTGAATAGGGCAAGCTGTCCCACACTGGTGTCAAATGTTACATTTCAAAAAAGCAAAATCTGATACCGTTTTAAAAGTTGAGTTTCTAAAGCTCTAATTTGTGTTAAAATTCAGCAGAGAGCTGAACTTACTTTAGAAGCAATATATAACATTGACGGAAAGGAATACTTTTTGATTAGTATCAAGATTATCTAACACAGATCAGTTGGTAGTTAAATACTAATAAATTGTAAGGGCCTAATGGTTCTGCAAGACAGTACATGTGCCTCCTCTCTCCAGAAAATGTAGCAGGGAGCATTTGGTGACTCTGAGTGGGAGCAGAAAGGGATTGAGAGATCTGGTCATCTAAACCTGCAAGGATTACTCATGAATGCATTTGGAGTATATGTGTGTTAAGAGCCATTACTTGTCAAGACATACCTGTGTAACACATAACTACTAAAATTATGAATTCCACTGCCAGGCAGACCTCTTTTCAACTAGATTTGCTTATCCTGCTCTCTTGAGCTGCTCTGAATCTGAACAGGTGTATAGGTGGGCTGCCACAGGTCACAGAATTTGTCAATGATGTGACACCTGAAAAACCTGTACAAAAAAGGGGAGGAAAATGATAAAATTCAGGCTGATACCACTGAGTGTGGCCCAGATGATGAGGGCAGATGGACCAGGACAAGCAGAAGCATCATCGGAAGCCTCCTTTGTACAGTTGCCCTCATCCCAACAAGTTGTATTGGATTCCAAACAGCAAGAGTGCCCCTTAAATTGTGAGCTGAGTTCCTGAACCAGACTCCAAGTCACTCATGTTCTGAACTCTGTGCACGCTATTCCCTCTGTCTAAACACTTGCTCCCTCTCACCTCCTTTCTCTATTTGACTACTTCTTGTCCATCCTTGAGATCTCAGCTTGAATATTAATATCTCTAGGAGCCCATCTTGACCTCCCAGACTAAGAGAGGTGCCTCTTCTTATTGTGCCCACAATCCCTCCAGGACTTGAAAGACCCTGGTCACACTGAATTGTAACCCCTTGTTTATTATCCCCTCATAGCTTCAGACTCAATGCGAGGGCTGCCTTGCCCACATTTCTATGCTTAATGTGGAGTAAGTTACTCAGAACATGTTGGTTGGATGGTTGAATAAACTCAACCTGTCTGCTTCCTAGCTCATTCAGGTACTCTCAACTGGCCTCTGCGTGATGGGACTTGCTAGTGTTTGTGGACAAGACTTAGAAGATGGCCAACAATAGCCAACAATGGCCTCAATGCCTAACAGCGCTTCCCAAAAGGTAGAAATCCTTGGGAAAAGTAAACCAGGGGTTCTGTATGGAGGCTGGAACTTCTCAAAAACCTGTCTGGAAAGAATGTGGTAGAAAAGGAGGACATTTGTGTAAAGGGGAGGAAGAAACTTGGAAATATCTCTTCAAGGCAAAGTAGAGGTGATAACATCTTGACCTGAAATTGAGAAGCACAGACCAAAGGTCAGATCTTCTAAAAAGATAAAAGAATTCTTTCATGGAGGAAAAAACTCCACAATGGAACTATGAAGCTACCAGAGCCCTCTTTCAGGTGTAGACAGTGAGCAGGAAGTCTGAGACGGTGTCAGAATTAGTAGGAGTCAATAAATGCCTGTCAATTAAATTCCATTCTCTCCCTGATCAGGGGCAGCTTCTTCCACCTAGCAACACCATGGCTGATCTTGGGTAAGACAGGGAGAGAGTTTTATCCATGGGAGAGAAATCAGCAGACACCAGGGCTATTGGCAGATAAACTGGAATGATAGAAGACCAAAAGTTGAGGAAAACACCAAAGAACTGACACCAGAAGCTAGCATCACTTTTCCAATATGGAAGCTGCCTGGAATGTAGCTGACTGTCAAAAAAGCACAGGCTGTCTACCCCTCCTGTTGTTAAGGAGCATTGGTCTTTATGCAACAGGAAACAGTACTTCTAAAAAAAAACAAAAAAACCTCTGAAGCCTTTCCATGGTCCTCAATAGAGTTAAATTCCTTACTATGGCCTGCAAAGTCTGTCTTACTAGACTCATCTTTTGCCATAAGTAACCAGATAGTTGCCGTGAAGAAATGAGTGGCCTCAATCCATAGTGGACTGGGTTGTCTCTGATCAGAAAAATATACAAAAGGAGAGTAATTCCAGCCTCGTTCTTCAAACAAATCTGGAAATTCCAACTGAAAAAACAGGAGTGAACTCTTTCAAGGGCAAGGTGTCAAGAGCTCCCTTCCTCTATCTCCAGCATCTTCCTGCCTCTTTTGTGTCTGGGGACCCTGGGGCCCCATCTCTCCTCAGTCTGAGCTGGGAAGGCTAAGCTGTTTCTGGTGCTGAGCAACTCTGGGCCCCGCTTTCCCTCCAACCCAAGGAAGCTCTAGTAATAAACCATAGGTAGGACTGACACGAGGAGTTGACCCACCATCCCCTACAAGGGTGATACCCTGGGGTTTGTCAGATAGGGAAGTTACCTCCTCGACCCTCACTGGCAGCCGGCTTCACTTGGATCGGACGATTCATCTGAAAGACATTGGACCAACACACCTAGTCAGCACAACTGCCTGGTCCTGGCACCCAGCTTCTCCTCCCCTGGATGTCTCAGGGTCTAAGCCCTGGCCCCTTTGAACTCTGCACTCCACCAGCTTCATGGTGGGCTATAGATTTTCTCCAAGATTCCTTCCTTAAACTGGGGAATTTAAGAGCTGCTGAAATCTGAAGGGTTGGGTCATAGAAAACTGGTGGCAAGCCAGGATGGACCATGGTGGTTAAAGAGATTTTGCTTTGGGCTCTGGGCTAGGACAATGTGCACCTGTCCCTCTGGCTCCTGGACCTCCTTAAAGGTTATGAGTGAGAGGAGTTGGGTGGGAGGGTGGAATTGATATCGAAGACTTGTGTTTTGTTCTAAAACTGAGAATAAAATTCTATATGTCATTTAGATTAAACAAGCTGGGAACTGGACTTAGTGCTGTCTACCCCAGCTCTGCCATTTAATGGTTGTATGACTTCGAGTAAGCCACCCTCTCTCAGATTCAGTTTGTTAAATGGGGGGAAGTTTTCCTAAGATTCTGTATTACCACAGTGTCTACACTCACCCCCTCAGCTTCCTCCCTGGACCCCCCTTCCCTTGAGGAGGCTGGCATTCTCCAGGGCACCGTCCTCAGCCTTGCTCATCCCTCTGTTCCCGTTCTTCCTCAAGAGTCTCATCCACACCCACAGCCTCAGTTACCATCCTCACAGGGCTGACTCAGATCTCTGCCTCCCCAACCCACACGTCCCTCCTGAGCTTCAGACCCGTGTACCCAGCTGTTTGCTGGACAGTCTGACTAAAAAGTCCCACTGGCATCTTCCACTCAACACATCCACACCAGAGCTTATCTTTTTGCCCCGACCTGATCCTTCCAGTCATCCAAGCTACAAACCTGGAAAGCAGCTTGACTCTTCCCTTTATCCCCTCCCCCGCCAACGAATTTCACCTTCTAATTCGGGGGTTCCCTGATCAAGGATAGATAAGAATCACCTGGGAATCATACCAGACTCTCAAGGTGGGGGACTGTATAATTTGTAAAATCTCCTAGGTGATTTCGACATACACCCCCACACATTCCCAGCCCCCAACCACCCTGAGAGAATTCATGATTGAATCCCCATCTCACCTTCCTCTCATGGGTGTTGTGGGGATCACATGAGATAATGGGGACGCAAAAGGTCTTTGTAAACTGCCAAAAGCTGGGTGCGTAGGAAGTGAGGAATTATTGTTGGGGGCAGAGAGCTGAGTGCCGGGAGGAAAGAACAGCGGCCTTCCCGTTATGGAGGAAGGGGTACTGATGCCCATCTGGCCTGAGAAGGTGATGATCTGACCCCCTCCCTTCAGGAAATGCACTGCTTCTGCACCAATCAGGGCCACTCCATCCTCTACCAATGTGCTCGTTGCCGAGACAACAGGCAGCTTCCTGTTACCATAGCCACAAGTGCTACCCAGTAACCATGGTAACGCCCTGGCAGTCACAGTTGAGCAATTTCCTTTGGATCAAATTTGGGGGTGGGGGAGTGGGGAGGGATTATTAAAAAAAAAGAGGAGAAGAAGAAGAAGAAGAAGGCAAGGAAAACAGGCCAAGCCTGCACCAGTGCAATCCCCCTCCCACCCAGGGCTCAGGTTCTTATACGCTCTGACACACCCACCCGCTGGTGGTGGAGCCCCTGCAGTGTACCGGGTTGTGGGTGGGGGCCGAGACACCGACAGGACTCAGGCTGCAGTCTAGAGGGGATGACTGATCAATCCAAGCAGATCAGGGCGAGCTGGGCAGGTCTGGATTGGCCGGGACCAGGGACCAGGAGGAACGGGAACCGTCCCTGGGCATGGCCACCTGTGATTGTGGAGGAGAGACCAAGAGACAGAGCCATGGAGAGCAGAGAAACAAGGAGAGATGAAGAGACACAGGAAGACAGAAACAATGAGAGAGAGAGAGAGAGAGACCTAGAAAGGGGCAAGGAAAGAGAAATACTGGTGGATATGGGAGGGAAACGAATGGATAAGGGGTCAGGAAGGGGATGCGGGAAAGTCAGGGAGGAGAGTGGCAGGGAAGAATGAAAGACGGGAAGAAGCCTGGGGTGGGGGGCAGTGAGGGTGAGCAAGACCATCATTATTTTATTAGTTCTTAAATAGACCCTGAGAATTTCTCTCTGGAACCTAGAGTGACGAGCACATGTGACAGCAGTGGTTTCCATGGCAGCTGTCTCCCTGGCTGGGTTTCTGGAGAGATGGAGCTCATCAGTGCTCTGGGGGACATCCCTTTCCCCCTCCCCTCCCCCACTCTTTCATGGAGAATGGGCATTAAGTGGTATATACATGTCCCACAGACCTGGCAGGGTCCGAGCCTCAGAGTCTTGGAAAGCACCTGGGCTTTCCACCATGCGGGCATTTTCTGAAATCTGTGAAGAGCCCCAGGCAAGGCCCTTCACAGGAGACAGCAACAACCTTTGGGAATCTGTCCTCAATGGCTTATAGAGGGAAAGACAGTGCCACAATTTCCTAAAAGCCCACTATACACCAGGCCCTTTCTGGGACACTTTACATGCATTCTCTCTAAATTCCTTCCAACTGCTCTGCAAGGTAATATCATTATCCCTATAGTACAGATGGGAAAGTTGAGGCTTAGGGAGGTTAAATCACTTGTTCAAGATCTCGTGATGAGTGAGCGGTGGAGCTGGCATTTGCCCCCAGGTCTGTCTGATGCTGAAGCCCATGTTTTTGTGTTGTGCTGCTTACCTCCATTCTTAAGACATGAACACAAGTAATGAGGCTCAGGGTGACCAGGGCCTTCGGAGGAGTGCAAAGTACAGTGTTGTGAGAGAGGCTGATCTTCAACTGGAGAGGTTGAAACAGGGAAAGCTTCACAGAGGAGGCAAAGTTTGACCCGGGCCTTGCAGGACTGGAGTCATTGGGCCACATGGAGATAATGGGAGAGGGAGAGCTGGAAGCTGAGCGCTCCAGATGACAGGGGGCGGGGGGTGGAAAGGGAACTGCAGGTCTAAGGGAGCAAGGATTCTGGTAGGCACCTGGCATGGAGGTGGCCAGGGCAGAGCAAATTGCAGTAATCTGAGTCATATAGATGTGGATTTAAATTGTGACTCCATCACTGGCAACTTCTTTAAGGTCTTTGAGTCTCAGTATTAGTAAAAGGGAGAATCATGATCCTACCTTGCAGTGTTCTGTTTGTTTGTTTTTAATGGAAGGGTGTAAAACTAAAAGGTAGCCAATGGCCAGGTTGGGGCAGGTTGTGAAAATCACAGGGAATTTAAACTTTGTTGTATTTCAAAGGCAGTAGGGATCCAGGGAAGGATATTAAGTAGGGAAAGTTCCCATGAGCTATCACTGTGCAGAGAAAAGATTGGAAAGGGAAAGATTAGAAATAGGAAGATCAGTAATCAAGGTAAGGGGCGAGGTGACCTGGACCAGGGCAGAAGGAAATGGATAAATTCAAGAGATGTTTAGGATGATTAACTGGACTAAGGTTCTATTGGATATGGGAACTGAGGGAGAGAAGGAAATATTGGCTGACTTTTAGATTTACGGCTTAAATGTTGAGGATGTTGGCAGTTTGGGAGTTTGGAGATGCAGGAAGTCCCCGGGGAGGAGGAGCCCAAGAGGCTGAGGACAGGGTCGGGGAGAGCTGGTTCTCCTTTGGTCCCCACTGGGAAATGGTTACAGAGGATACCTAGGATTTAGGTATGCTCCATGTGGCTGAAGGAGAAAGAGAGCTAGCCACATGAACTGCCTAAGCAACCCTATCCTGCCTTGTTCCTGCCACAGCCATCACAGCCAGGGGAGAGATGTGGGAGCAGGGTAAGGTAATCCCAGTTCCCCCTTTAGGAAAAGAGGGTTTTGCCTCCTTGGCCAAGAATTTGTCATGGGACCTCAGGTGAGCTCTTGACCTTGGCTGAGCACCTATTCCCTTGAGAGTTTCCCAGGTAGAGTCCAGACCCCTGTCTGCTTCAGGGCCAACTCTGGAGGGAAAATCAAAATAGAGAATGTCAGAAAGAGGAGAAAACAACTTATTCCAGGCAGTGGAGTGGGGAAGGTTGGAGGCATATGAGGCCCCGGTACTTCAGCCACCATGAGCAGGAGGAAAGGCAAGTCTTCTCCCTGCTTGACTTGTATAAAATTTCTACTTTGGGCTCAGCGTTGCCCTCTTCAGACATTTCTGTTTTGATGCCAACTATTCCTAACACTGAACACCTGTGCCCTTAGCCACTTCCACCATGGGAAGAATACTTTTCAGGATTACTGGTGGGTCTAAGAGAGGTGTCAGGGATGCAGGGAAGAGTGAAGAAGAGAAAAAGTAAGCTACACCATTTTCAGCTCTTTGTTCTACCTCACACCTTCTTCTAATTCAATCCGATGCCAGTTGCCACTGCTCTAAAGTCTATATGGACATCCTAAATAGCTCTCAAGTCTATTGTTTTCTCCCCATTCCTGCCCTATCTCTAGCTCCAGACCAGCATCATCATTCAGCTGCACTCAAGCAACAGTGTCCTAAAGGATCATCTGTCTCCAATGTTGCTTCCTCTCTCCATCCAACCATCACACTGAAGCTGGAGTGAGCATTTAAAACCAATCCCTCACTCTTTCCTGACTAAAATCCATCCATGGTGCCCCATTGCAAGCCTCCCAATAAAATCAAAGATCCTAAGACTGACAGTCCAAATTTGTAGGTCCTGCCTCCCTTGCTGCCCAAAATACACAATATTTTCCATTCATATGAAGCCTTAGACACCTTCCTTGGACTTCTTCACTGCCAGTTTTCACACTGTACCTAGGATTCCAGAAGTTGCCTTGTCTTTTAGCTTTCTAGACCCTCAAATGTGATGAAATATGGTCATGATTGGGCTCAGATAGCACCTCCATTGTGAAGCATCTCCTCTCTCTCTATTCTGATGCCTCTTTTATGTGCCTAGGTAAACCCCACTGAGATGCAAGGAGTTATTTCTGGGCTGAAAAAGCTCCTTGAGGTCAAAGCTTCCAATTCATTCACTGGGAAGCTGCTAGCACATACAGTGTCTTCGTATGAGTTACAAAAAGTCACTCCCCCCACTATGGGATGAATTAGGAAAAGAATGTGCCTCCCCCTCTGGGCTGACACAGCCCTGTGATAATGTGCATGGCTTGGTCAATAGAGCATGGCTGGATTTTAGCCCCCACTTGCCCTTTCCACCCAAGCTGTTTTGCGCCAGGCACAACTTGCAAAAGCAAATTCACTCAGTTCTGTCTGTCTCCTTCACAGTGTTTGAAGGGATGAATGCCCAAGGGAAAGGTGGTCATGAGCAAGGATAGAGACAAGTAGGAGGGCACCTTCTGGGATAAGGTTGGCCTAACCTTCTTCAGGTGGATTCTGGAGCTTAAAATGAGGTTGCAAGAAGTAGCTTCGGCTTTATAGAGAAGAAGGTGGGACAGACCACTGAGGTTTAAAGGAAGTCCTCCTGAGCAGGGAGCCCAGTTTTGATAGGTGACAGAAATTAGCAGGAGCATGTGGAGGGGAGTTATGGTGAGGTCCCAGTCCAGTAGATACTATGACATGTTCCCTAGGGGTTCAGGCTTTTTCTCTGGGGAGACAACCTTTCTTGCTCCCACAGTAACTATCTTTCCTGTCTCTAGGAGGAGCCCAAATTGAAGTCTTTCCATGCTTTTCCAGTAGATGGCAGCTGTGCCCAGGACCCAGTACCTAGAGAGAGCTGGACACCCTCTTCCCTTCATGCTGGTGGGCCTGAGGCCAGGTGACTAAAGCTGCTGCTGCCCCTGGCAGGCCCAGAGGAAAGATTGATGGCACGGACATTGCTTGGGCTGGCCAACAGAGCCATCGATTTTCATTTAGGAGAATAATTAAATATTAATTTTCACTTTGTTAAGCTGAGGAGGGTGAGTAAAGCCAATCCTGGCAGTCCGGGACAAAGCCAGGCCATGTTGGAAGCCTGCAGATGAAAGGGTGGGAGAGGGCAGATGCATCCAGTCACCATCCCCTTCAGAAACTTAGACAGACCCCCTGTCTGCCACCAGCTTGGCACAGGTCATAGGGTCGTGGTTAAGTGAATGAGTTCAGGAGTCAGACTACCTAGATCTTCCTAGATCTTTCTACGTAACCTTGGGGAAGTCACTTGTTTCCTTTGACTCTGGTTTCCTCATGTATAAAATGGGAATTCCAATAGCAATACCTTCTTCATAGAGGATCAAGTGACTTTGAGAATGCAAAATGCTAGGAACACTGTCTAGTATCAACAAATGCTAGTTGTTATTATTTCTCTTTTTCTCCTTCAGAAATTATCCCACTAATCTAGAGCCTCACAGCCCTTATCTCAGGTGCCCTCAGCCTCATAAAGTTCTCCATTTGTGGAACCCTATGGTGTGGTTTTCTTTCCTCGCAAAGTTCATCTTAATTTTTTCAGTGCTCCCATTTGCTTTCAGGATAAAGTCCAAATCTCTCATCCCGGCATCCAAAGTTCCTCTTCAGCCACTGCCCTCTGGTGGATCTTCTCTTTGGCCTGGCCCATGCTCACCCAGGCCTTCCTCCAAACTCCCAACCCCATTTCACACCCATCTTGTTCCTTCTGTCTCTGCACCTTTACCATGCTGTTTCCCACATGGAATGTTACAGTTTGTGTCAGCGACTTTCAATTTTAGCAGCAGAAGTCATTTATTCCCATGGTTGGATGAATAATAACTTCCGCTACTACTCCTACTAACACTGCTGTTACTATTACTACTGCTGCTACCACAAGCTAACCTGTACCTAGAGCTTATTGTCTACCAAGAACTATGTTAAGCACTTTACATGAGTTAGTTAATTTAACTATTATAAGAATTCTATAAATTCAGTTTTACATATGAAGATGATTAGACTGAGAAGTAAAGGCTTGCCCAAGGTCACAGAGTTAGTGTGTGGTAGGGCCTGGATCCACACCCATGTCTGTTTGACTCCAGAGCCTGTACATGCAAGCTTGGCAGCAGTAATACATTAGTGTTACTTGCTGCTGTGTCTTCAAGAGTGAGGCTTGAGTTGCTTCAATTACTGGGATTGGTCCTAGGACCTGACAGCCCACTAACAGCTTGATCAACTCTAGGTGAAGCTGGTGCCACTGCTGGACAGCTCCAATCAGAGAAATGATTTCTTTATATTGAGCTGAAATTCGTGTGTCTGTTTTTTATACCCGCTGATCCTGATCAAGCCCTCTAGAGCCACCCATAGAAAACCAAATCCCTCTTCAGAATCTGAAGGTGGTTACCTTCACCCTAGCAGTAAAATTTATTGAGATCTTCCTCTGTGCCAGGCACTTGCTGACTTCAGTTAATCCTCACAATAGCCCAGTGAGCTAAGTGTTAGTATAACTCACTTCTTATAGATGAGGAAATTGAAACTCAAGAGTCTAAGTAATGTATCTGGAGACACAGAGCTGGTAAATGACAGACCTGAGATTCAAATCTAGGTCTGTTGAGACTCAAAAAGTCGTATTTTTAATCATTATGTTATGATGCCTCCCTCTGAAAGCCCCCACACCCTATTGCCTCCAGCCAAATATCTCCAATTTCTTTAAACCATCATCCATGATATATTTTATTTCCCCATTCCATCCTGGTCTCTTTCTGATAAGCTAATGACCCTCTTAAATCTGAGGCTTAAAATTGGATATAGTCCCAGGTTTGGCATTTGAATAGTCTTCTTTTAGTAGACATATCACTCTTTTGACAAGAGAAAATGAGGCTCTGTTTTGTGATTTGCTCTTGGTGAACCCACACTAGTTCCTAACAATCACCACTCTCTTCCTGCCACGTGGTCCGCAGGTCCTACTTTGCCTTTTGTCCAGTGATTAGCCATTAGCTAAGGCCATACCAGGTGCCATTGATATATAATGGCCTAAGCGCTCATATAATCAGGTCCTCTTAGCTTTTACCAAGTGTTTGGGGAAGAGGAGGGCAAGTAATCTTGGCGAGTCAAGGCACCTCTAAAAAACATTACAGGAAGAGAATAGAGGGGAATGGTATTAAGGACTCTAGAACTGGAAAAAGTAGGATATCAGCCCAATAGGGTCTCTACACCATGTATCTGCATATAGTCTCACACCAGTGACAAATGACACCTTAAGCCATGATTTTAGCTAATGCAGACAAATTCTAGCATAACACACAATACTGATGCCTCTCTCAAAAGATGGGGTGGAACACTTTGTCCAAGTGTTAAGCCCATTTCTCTGAGCCAGAAGACTAAATATAACAAGAACTGATAGCTGCTCAGGGGATAGGTAAGCCTTGAAAAGTGACTCTGCTTCTAGTTCCTGGCCCCAACCCCGCCCCTACATGCTGCTTTGGCATGCACATAGGGCATGTCCCCAGCCTGAAGTGATCCCCACCCCCCAAACCTGGTGGACTTACCCCTGGCAGGGTCTTCTGCTCGTGCAGTGCACTCTGGGCCTTGAGAGCAGAGTCCCGGGCGCAGTAGGTGAGGAAGGCACAGCCTGGGGAGGAAGAGGCTGGCTCAGGGGGTTTCCTGAAACCCCCAAATACTCTTCCTGAAAAGATCCCATTAGTTGACAAACTCAAGGCCACTCTTCTTTAAACAAGGGCACTGCTCTGAGAAGCCTCTGTCTCCCACCTTCCCTGAAGGGAGGGGCTTCATGTGTTTCAGTCCCAGACTCTGGTTCTCTCTCATTTGCTCTTGGATTCTTGCCTAGGGAACATGTGTACCCACATCCAGCCACATGCTCATACAGTCCCACATTTCCCCTCCCCACTCCAGCTGTAAGTCTGGTTGGGGTTAAACCTCCCTAAGCGGCTTTGCCTTCAGCTTTAACCCCAGCCTCCCCCTTCCTTTTCATATTCATACTCACAGAGTCTCCCAGAATCAGCCTCAATTCTTTCCCAACTCAGTTTCAGATGAGAGGAGGCCAAAAGGAGGAAAATGGTTGGGAGCCAAGCCCAGGACCCCACAACTTCTTCTTAACACCTCCTTCCTCCGAGTTTGAAGCTGAGGAATAGGTTAATTTGAGGCTTGCAAGATGGGGCTGGCTTAGGAACTTTCTGTAGAGAAGAGCTTTCACAGACCTCCAATCCTATCCAAGGAGTTTGATCTGTCAGCTCCTCCAGTGTTTTAAGATAGAGGCTGTTAAAGGGTTATTGTGCCCCAAATCTTACTTCTCTAAAAGAGCCAGAAGTTATAGGACAGAGGAGTCTGGATTGAGCCACAGGATAAGTCCTACTGCTCTTTGTTCAGAGTCAGAAAGTGTAGCCTGCTAGGAAGCACTGAGGCAGGGACCTCTTCCTTTCCAACAGTCATTGAGCACTCACTCATTCAGAAAATCTTTGTTAAATACTTATTTGCTTATTATGGTGGACATTATAATGGGCTTGGGGATGAAGTGGTAACAAGACAGACACATTCTCTGCTCTCATGAGGATGATGTAAAGGATCATGAGGGGCATGTAATTTGAGTCCAAAGGATTGAGGAATGCTTCAAAGAACACATTGAGTCCCCAATAACAAATAGGATTTAACCAGATGACAAGAAGGGTGGTGATTTTTTAAGGCTGAAGGAACAGCACGTATGAGCAGCTTCATATAGTATGTATGAAGACCAAGGCAAGAATTTGGTGTGTTGGGGAAATGGATAGAAGACTAGTATGGTTGGAGATTGGTGAAAGGAGGCAGAGTGGACAGTGAGGTGTGCTGGGATCAGGTTACCTATAACCTTGTATGCCTCAGTCTGGATTTTGAACTTTTCCTTAAGAGCAATGAAGAGCCACTAAAGTATTTTAAGCAGGATTCTGACATGATAAGATCTGTGTTTTCAAAAAGAGCCTTCTGAGTGTGGGAATGAGGAAGACTGAAAGAAGGGAAAGTGGATGTGAGAAGCCATTTGGAGCATGATGAAGTTTTCCACTTAGACCTCAGCAGACTACAAGGCAAATGGAATCATTTTCTATGATGTCTTCCAAGTGGCTGCCCCCTGAAGGTGGGTGGCTATCTGCTATTCATTGAGTTAAAGGGATCTGAGAGAACACCTGGGACAAGATCTTATTGTATAATAGGGAAACAGAGAGTGTGTCAGTGGAAGAATATGGTTTAGAATCTCCTAAGTCCTAGACTGAGGTTGTTTTCAAGGCACTGTGGCTGCCTCCTTCAGTACCCAGCCATAGGAAGGAAAATTATTCACTCTGGCTTTTGGATGTCACTGTTGCTGGGGAGAAAACGGGGAACATGTTGACACACAGACCCTCTCCCAATCATCTTGCAAGGCAACCCTGCCTTGGAGAGCTGCAGGTTGGTTTGGGGACAAATCACCAAACACATGAATTTGTTTACATTTCTTGATCTTCTGCCACTAAGCCATATCAACTGACGTCAGAAATGGGCAGGGCTGGGGCCCAGTCTGAAAGGCTCAGCGGCCCAATTGCTGCCCAAAAGAGTCCCATGTGGACTACCTGGGATAGGGGGTGGAAGAAGGTGGGATGGAAAGACAGAGAAGCATGACTTGAGGGAGAGACAAATGAAAATTTTAAAACAGGAAGAAGTAGAACTAAATGGAGAGAGAGAAAGGGTAAGGGAACAGTTCAGAGACTGATGGTGTTTGAATGAGAAGAGTGAGAATTAAAGGTATCTTATACACTTCCCTTATTTTACAAATGGCCCAGAAAGATTAGCTTGTGCTTACATACTGAAAAAAAAATGTCTAGAAAATAAGAAAGTAAGTTGCTATGGATGGATACACAGCCAGGCAGCTGGACTGCATTAGAAGGAATCAGGATGGTATAGTCTTATTTTTTTATGCCCCTTTGATAGTAACCCCACCTCAAAGTGTGGAAGATGCACTGCTACCTAGCTGGTCCCAGATCTTTTGTGGGCATTTTTGTGAAGCTCCTGTATAAGTGTGTCTCCCAGATGAAAAGAGGTGGCAGTCTGATTCCAGCTCTCAGCCCTTAGGAAAGTACCTTTAGCTGTTACTCAGGACTGACCATTTTTCTCCTAGAAAAATCATGGAGAATAGTTGGTGACCCTTACCCCTCAAATCCTAAAACTGAAGCATGGTGAAAGTTGGGAGAGATAGAGGCCCTTGCCCCTCAAGTCCTGAAACGGAAGCATGGTGAAGGTGGGAAGAGATAGAGGTGTTTCTCCTCAAATAATTTCCATCCCCTGTCCATGTATGACATGTGACTCTGGCTCTCTTACTCCAGCTCAGCCTGGACAGACTTTTCTGCATGTAAACAAGCCTCCTCCCTCTCTCTACAGGAAGAAAGGGGTGTGGCTGGACAGAACTGTGGTGCCTGTCTCTCTAACAAGGACAGGGAGAAAAACCCTTCTGCCTCTTCAAATTGACCCACCCCAAGTTTCTGATCCACAGGCTCTACTCCAGGACCTGCCTGTGAAGGAGGGAAAGTAGGAGTCCATAAAGAGGATTCGGGAAGGGTATAGATGAAGCACCAGAGTGGAGAGATTAGAGGATGAAAGAAGTGTGGGTTCAGCTGAGAGGAAACCTGAAATGAGGGGGCACAGATGGTAGATCTTTCCGGTTGAGGTCAGGGTTCTGGACTCAAGTCAGAAGAGGCAGAGTGTTGGGATTCTGGCAGAGGGAGGAGAGATTGGGTTATTGTCAAACACGAGGGTGGAATTTGAAGCCGAGAGCCTCCTCGAGGGGAATTGGATTTTGTGAGTTAACCAGGCCCAGGTTCTGAAGAAAGAAGGAATTTAGGTTTGGGGGGGGGGGGGTTAAGTTAGCAGTCTTGCATCAAAAGAAGGCTCTGGGGGTTGACCGGGCTTGGAGGCCAGAAGGAGGGGTACAAGTCCAAGATGTGTGTGTGGATGGTTAGGCCTGAATGGGGTGGCACCAGATTGGGGGAGGAGGTCAGAAATGATTGGTCCAGGTGTGGGAGATTGGGGGTATTAGAGACCCAAAGGTCCAATAAGTTTTCAAATTTCAGGATTTGGAATGTCTGATGAGAGGGATGGAGGGAGGTCTGACTGAAAGGTTGGGACTGTTGGGATGTGAGAGGTGAGGGGTAGGGAGTTAGAGGTTAGAGTGGAGAACACGTCAGGGGATCAGAGTGATGATCAGAAGGAGGATGTCAGAGAGAAAATTCTGGGTCGGGGGTTCTGTGACCTGGGGAGGAGACTGGGCTGAAGTGGGGCTGGTATTGGACTGGTGTTGGACTGACTCTAGGTAGGGCTAAGGTTGGGGCTGCGGTTGAGGCTGGGGTTTGGGCTGGGCCCACTCTAAGCGGATTGGGGCAGGGCTGGGCTGGGCTGGGCTGGGCTGACCCCGCGCACCTTTGTGGAGGCCGGTGAGCCGGTCCTTCAGCACCGTCAGCTCGTAGATGCGGCCGAATTCCTCGAACAGCGGCTTGAGATCCTGCTCGTCCAAGCCCCGCGGGATCTGCCCCACGAAGAGCTTGATGGCGTCGTGGTCCTTCATGGGCACGGCAGGACCGGGGTTTAGCCCGCTCATGCCGACGCCGCTGTCCGCGGTGCTGAAACCCAGGCGCGGGCCGGGGCCGGCGGGCGGCGCAGACCCTCCGGGCGCCGCGGCCATATCCCCGCCCGGTCCGCCCTCCCGCCGGTCCCACCAGTCCCGTCTGTCCCGCCGTCCCCTCCCTGGACCGGTGGCGAGGGCCAGGGGGGAGGGGGCGGGGTCCAGGCGACGAGGGCGGGGGGCTGCACAGGGGGCGGGGCCCGGGTGGAGGGGCGTAGAGGAGGTGGGGCGGGCTGGAAAGGGGCGGGGCCTGGGGCGGGGCAGGACCGGGCCGCGGCGGCGGGACGCTGGGGTCTGGGTTGAGGTCCCCGCGCGGCGCTATCCGGGCTCCCGCCCGAGCTCTCCCGGAGCCGAGCCCCGAGCCCCAGCCCCCGTGCTTGGTGACGTCAGGCAGCTGGCCGCCGAGTCTACGCAAATGATTTGCATAATGAGGAAGCAGCGACCAATCAGAGCTGCAGTTGACCGGGCTCGGCCGGGGGCGGGAGGGGCGGCTGGGCTCACGCGCTCCTGTTCGCCATGGCAACCGGACCCTCGGACGCCCTGTGTGTGTCGAGTGTGTGCGGGCGTGGCTGTGGATCGCGCGTGTGCGCCTTGGACCGCGTGAGGGGAAGTAGCTTCGTCATGCGTGGTGATGTCTGCGGGAGTCGGAGCTACCCCCTCCCCACACACAGGCACACACGCAGCCACACACACCTCCAATCACTGGAGCGTTTCCTGCGGGGGTGGATGGGGATTCCTCTTCTTCATTCCCGCTACCAAAGCCAGGTCCTCCGAGGCGATCCTACCCCGCTCCATCACACATCTCTCCTCCGTGTCTTCATCCACTTTCTTACCCAACGAGCCTCAAACATGTTCATCTACCCTGCACCCCTCCAAAAAAGTAAAAATAAAATTTTAAAGAGAAAGAAAAAAAGAATAAAAGAAAACAAAACTCCAAAACACTACTTGAATACAGATTCCTCCTCAGGAAAGTAATGGAACTTATATTAGCCATGTTTGCTCAGTTGCCTCGTTCATCCCAATTCAACGAGCTCTCAAGTGTTACCCTTTTCCGGAAAAGGGAGCTGTGTGTCTGAGAGTTAAGGAGGTTAGGACAGGCCCTCCCCTAACATCTGCTGGGCCCAGGGTAAGAGAAGAAAGGGAAATAGACATACCATGTATCTAAATATCTAAAAGATACAAATCAAATTACAATTTGTTAAATATGTTCGCCTCTAATTTTCAGAAATACACGTCCATAATAAAAATGAAAAGTATGTGTAAAGCTGTTTTTTATATGGCTGAAAATTGGCAAAACATCAGAGCTGGAATCATATTACTCTTGTTTATGTCTGAGTATTCTCTTGATAGGCTAGTGATGTTTGAACAGAAGAATCCACTGTGGATAAATAACTTATAAATTCTATAATTATTTCACATAACGTTTTCTTGATTTCTTTCAATAAAATTGCTAACCTCTGCCCGTTGACTATTCCAGGAAACTTCAAGAGTAGCAGTAGCAAGTGGAATCAACAAAATATTCTTACAGAAACGTTCAAATTCAGAAAAAAATTGTGATTTTAATTTTTTTTACTTTTAATAAGTTACATTTAGTTACCTAATTATGAAACTTCCTCTTTGATCCATGGATTATTTATAACTGTATTTTTTAGTTTCAAAGTGCTTAGAAACTTTCCTCTTATTGATTTCTAAGTTTGAGTCCATTTTGGACTCAAATCTATATAATCTGTATAATTTCAATTATTTTACATTTGTTGAGGTTTTGTGACCCTCAGAATATACTCAGTCTTGCTAAATGATTTGGTGGTGCTTGAAAAGACTGTATATTCTGCTGTACTATAAATGCTCATTGGAGCCTTTTGCTTGATGATGTTATTGAGTTTTTCTATATCCTTGTTGACTTTATGTGTAGTTATTTTATCAACTGTTAAGAAAGGGGTGTTGATGTCTCCAACTGTAATTGTGAATTTAACTATTTCTCCTTTCAGTTCTATTAGTTTTTGCTTCACATATCTTGCAGTTCTGTTGATTGCTTCATACAATTTTAGAATTGCTATGTGTTCTTGGTGGATTGACTCTGATCATTATGTAATGTCATTCTCTGCTCTTAATAAATTTCTTGCTCTGGGATCTATTTTATCTGATATTAATATAGCAACTCCTGATTTATTCTGGATACTGGTTGCATAGTGTATCGTTCTCTATCCTTTTATTTTCAACCTACCTGCACTGTTACATTTGAAGATAATTTCTCATAGACAGTACATAATTGGGTCATTTTTAAAATCAAAGCTGTCAATCTTCACAGGAATTTTAATTCCTGTATTTAGACCATTTACATTTAATGTAATTATCCATATGTTAGGGCTTAAATCTGCCACTTAGCTTTTTGTTGCTGTTGTTGTTTTCTTTTCTTTTCTCTTTTGCCTTCCCTAGGATTACCTGTTTCTTATTCCAGGTATATCATACATAAATGTCACAGTTTACTGGTGTTGAAATTTTACCAGTTCAAGTAAAGTACAGAAAACTTACCTACTTTTAAGTCCCTTTATATTCCCTCATTTATAATATAATTATCTTAAATATATTCTCTTCATGCTTTGAGAACCACATCAGATGATGTTATTCAAAAACAATTTGGAAAACTGGAGATGCCATAAAGCTTCTTGTATATACCCATACATTTGTTCCTTCCATTGATCCTTTCTCCTTCCAGATAATCCAACAATTCCAAGATTGGAATAATAATCCAAGATTCCTTCTTTTATCATTCCATTTATATTTTTAAAACTTCTTTAGGTAGTTCTACTGTTGACAAATTCTCTAAGTTTTCCTTAATCTTAAAACATCTTGATTTATTCTTTCCTGAAGGAAAATTTTGCAGATATAAAGTTCTGGTTTGACAGTTCTTTCTTTCAGCACTTAAAAAAATGTTTGCCACTTTTAAAAATGGCATCCATAGTTTCCGATGAGAATCTTTTGTCATTCAATTTGTTCCCCACTCCCCACCACCATAGGTAAAATGTTCTCTTTTTCTCTGCTTTTTCTAGCTTTAGTTTTCAGAAGTTTGACTCTGATGGGTTTTGATGTGGATTTCTTCGGCTTTATTCTGTTTTGGCTTTACTCTGCTTCTTTAATCTATAGAGTTTGGCCTTTTGCTAAGTTTTGATCATTTTCAACCATTATCTCTTCAAGTACTTTTACAGCCCTTTTCTCTTCCCCCTTTTCTCCAGAATTATGATGGTAGGAATGTTAGATCTTTTGTTATAATCCCATAGGTCCTTGAGGCTCTGTAAATTTTTAAGTCTTTTCTCTCTGTTGTTCAGACTGTGTAAGTTCTATTCTGTCTTCAAGTTCACTGATTCTTTCCTCTTGTCATCTACATTTTGATGTTTGAGCCAATCTGGTGAGTTTTTACTTTGGTTTTGGTATTTTTTTTAGTTCTAAATTTTCTATGTGGTTCTTACTAATATCTTCTATTTCTTTGCTGAGACTTTCTATTTTTTTTTAATTTGTTTCAGGTGTGTTTGTTGAAGCATTTTATGATGGCTGCTTTAAAATCTTTAGCAGTTAATTCCAATATCTGTTTCATCTCAGTGTTGGTACCTATTATAAAATTCTGAGTATTTTCTTATGAAACTTTGAATATTTAAAATTTCTGTTTTAGCAGGTCTCCTTTGGCCCTATACTAGTTGAGAAACAGGGACACGGCCTTATTACTGACAGATGTGCTCTGAAGTTCAGGTTTCCTACTAGGTCTCTGCTAAAACCACCCTGAAAGGGAGGGAAAGGGGTCTTATTACTACTGGATGGAGGTAGAAACTTCCACCTAGGCCTCTTTGACACAACAAAGAGGGAGATGAGTCCCATGTAATCTTCAGTGAACCCACAGAAGAGGAGCTTGTTGGTGTTGGGTGGCGATGAAATTCCTACTTCCCCATTTGACCTTCTCTGACACCACCTTGGTGGTGGGAGGAAAAGCAGTGCCTTCTTACAGCCTATGGCTGAATCAGAATTGCTGGGGTGGTACATAGGCATAGTGTTTCAAACCTGCCCTGTTGATTTCAATGTGCTTGCAAACAAGTTTAAAAACTACTGCTATAGAACTTAGGAGTCTGTTGGTAGTAAACTTTGCTATGCTTATCTGGAAATTCAGTATTTTGGCCCACTTCCTGAATCATAGCTTAGGCAGTGAACAGTTATTTTCTCTCAACATTTTGAAGATATTCTTTCCTCATCCTTTGGTTTACATTTTTGCTTATGAGCAGTCAACTAACTTGTCATTTCTCTGCAGGTAATTGGGTTTTCCTTACTGCTGCTTTTAAGATATTTTATTATTTTATTTTATTTTTTTAATGTTTATTTATTTTGAGAGAGAGAGAGAACGTGCGCATTCATGGGGGAGGGGCAGAGAGAGAGAGAGAGAGAGAGAGAGAGAGAATCCCAAGTAGGCCTCACACTGGCAATGCAGAACCGGATGTGGGGCTCAATCTCATGAAGCTATCTAAGAGGCAGCTTCCCAGAGAACCAAACCTGAAATATCCCATTCTTTTTAGTCACTCCTTCAGAAAATCTGATTAAGATATGTCAGATTGTCTTACTTTGTCTCCCTAACTCTTTCTCTTTCACAACTTCCATCACCTTGAAGTCCTTTGATGCATTTTGGGCAATTTCCCAAGAGCTTTTTCTTTAGATTAACTCACTAATTTTATTTTCAGCTTTTTAAAAATGAGTTATTATCTTAAGATATTTCTTTACAGAGGCATCTGGGTATCTCAGTCAGTTGAGTGCCTGACTTCAGCTCAGGTCAGGATCTTGCAGTTCAAGTCCCACATCAGCTTGCTGCTGTCAGCCTGTCAGTGCACAGCCTGCTTCAGATCCTTTGTCTTTCTCTTTCTGTCCCTCCCCTACGTGTTCTCTCCCCAAAATAAAGAAATATTTTTTAAAAAGATATTTCTTTACAAAATTTTCTAGCATATTGACTTGGAAATTTTTAGTAAAATGTGTTTTAGATAAAGAGCATACAACTTTTAAAAAAGGCTTAGTGTCTTGGTTTGGTG